GGCAATGACATGATACCAGAACGAGCAAAACTTCTAAAGTCGGCTGAAAGATACACATTGATTCATATATACATTCTATATTCGCTCTAATCGTCGCGTGGGTCCCACATCCAACACTACACGGTACGGACGAATGCGTGTGGCCACTACTATTCTTCGTAGTTTACAGAACTGGCTACTTAAACCCAGACACAGACGTTGGCCTGGCTTTGGGTCCTCAACGCTCCATTCTGCCTATGCCTGTCATTGAAACAAGCATCGCAGCACACCGCCACACAATATAGTACAGCGGTAGTTGTATTCTCCCCTGACTGGGTGTCTGTCTGTCTGCCTATTTGTATTTTGTTCTTTGATTTATAGTTTTGTTTCGTTTTGGCGTTTGTTACCGCGAATTATTTTCTCCATCTGTTTTACCTTGCTATTAACTATGTGTTCCCATCTATATTCTCGTTTATAGAATGGAATAGCGTTTGTAGAATAGAATAGAATAGAATAGAATAGAATAGAAGTATCCATGTTTACTTAATTGTCGGAATTGTTGTATTTAATTCTGAGTCAATCTAGTTTGAAGTGACATTTTACCTGGTGAAGTGATTTTACCAACCTTTTCACTCATAACATTTTTTCTCACTCCGTCACGGTGACTCCTAAATGTGATCCCCTTATTATGGGAGAAGGGAGTTAAAGGGGAAGTCTAGGCTAACCTAATGATGATACCCCCAGAGGAAAGAGCTTCACAAATACGGGGTGCACTTACAGTTTTTCGTACTATACATATTCAAATTTTAATTGTTATACGTTGTCATGGATAAAATATGACATCACAGCTACTGTTATTTCAGTGTGCATATTACTCGTGTATATAATTATAATGTGAATTGGAATCTATACTTTCAGCGCTAAATTGTGTAAAATATACATTTGACGGATAGAAAAATACAAAAATATATATTTTTAGCTCTGTTTCCATAATGAACATTTTATATACAACGTTGGCATCGGCATCGGCATGCTACCATGTTCTAAACGATTAACCAATTTGGAGTCCCACTTTCAGAAGTTATAGATAAAAACATTTTCTCAATTGTTCACAACAGATTCTATGACGTCATACTTTTCCCATAATCCTTTGCTGGAAACATCAAGATGGCGGACTACACACACTGGTGAAAAGTTCAATATCTAGAGAATTAACAGTGATATAAAAAAATCTGTGAATTGCAATCCTCTGCATTTGTGGAGCTCTTTCATTTGGAAGCGTTACGTTGTAGCCTCAATTTTGACTTTAATTGAATAGATATGTTTCCTATATAATGCTGATACTCTCATTTCGGATTTGCGGCATGCAACTCACCTAGTAGTATTGTTGTACATGTAATCGGGACCAGTAACAGTATTTTTTTTTACCAGTGAGCAGATGTTTAAATCTCCCACCCGGATTATACGTGGTTAATCCAATGTTAATTCTCTCTGGCCCCCGGGTCACCACATGTGCGATAAATTCGACACGATTGTCAAATGTGTCACTGTGAATGCTAAATACGTCTATACGTAAAGCTGCTTTAACCTGTTCAGTAAAATACACACCCTGATATGTAGTTTATGTAGTCTAAGAACGAAAGTTAACATTTTTTTGAAACTCTGCTTTGTTAGGTTTACGTGGCTGTTGTGGTGTCTGTGATGATTACTATGTTCGTTGTGGCTGCAATGATCATATGCGGCGTACGTTACTTCCGGCGAAAGAGGCGCCGGCCCACGTCAGCAATCAACGGTTACGCGTCCCATCCTCTGAATACGGTGTCGCTTACCATGAGTGCAAATGGCGACGTTCTTGCGAAACGTACTGCTGTACCAGTTGATCGCCTACAGATGGTGGAAAATCCAAACTATTTCAAGAAAATGCATCAACAAGACAGTAAGAGAACTCCAGGTATCATTAGCCCCTCCCATTTCAGACCGACCCTCTCTCTGCCGCTTATTTCAGGCTCAACATGATCATGCCCTAGAAAGCATCATCATAGCAACACCAGAAAGTGACCAATCATCGACAGTCTTGTTTCTGCCACTTGGTCAACTCCGAAAGATAATATACGTATTTTTTCATTTGACAAAATTACCCACGTGATTTCATTTAGCGTACATTTTACTGGAAAGTCTGTTATGGTAGAGGTGTACTGGCCAACGTAATTTCTCATTTGTATGCAGCTGGGGTGGTATAATTGATAATTTGAAACTTATTAAAGAATATAAACAATGACAACGAAGTGGAGTTAACAAAAAAAAAAAAACGGTTTAATCACGAGATTTGTTTCTTTTTTAGTGATTCGTCATATGAAGCGGGAAACTATTCATTTCATTCGCGAACTGGGTGAGGGCGCCTTCGGACGAGTGTACCTCGGGAGGTGCGACAACCTCACTGAATCAGATGAAACGACGTTGGTGGCAGTGAAAACCTTGAAAGACTCCTCTATAGGCGATGCCAGGCGGGACTTTGAAAGAGAGGCAGAACTTCTGACCAATCTGCAACACAATAACATCGTGACCTTTTATGGAGTGTGTATAGAGGGCGATCCTCTGCTTATGGTGTTCGAATATATGGAGAACGGTGATTTGAATAACTACCTCAGGTATGCGTTTGGGTTAAGCGTTGGTTCTGTGTTTGGGTTAAGCGTTGGTGCCCCGCCGATTGGCCGATGTCTGAAAAATGTTTATAAACGCGTCAGGTTGGGAATATACGACAGCAAACTATGTTACTAGTAAGGGCGATGGTCGTCGCGCAGCGCGTTTTCGAATTTTATGTAAATAAACAATGTAATTTTAATACACGCGTTGTATACGTCGCTATGAGTTCCATATCGAACAGAACGCGGTGCAACGACCACCGCCCTTTAATATTAATATAATTGTACCATACCTCCCCCCATTACTAAACCTAAGCTTCGCAAACATTTCTATGTTCAGTCTCAGGATATTCAACTTTTGATTAATTAAAACATGTAAGATTTCCAACACTAATTATTTAAAAACCGGTCGAAATTTTAAAACTTTTACGTTTGGAGCTGGAGCTCTCTTCTTGCAGCGACCGTCCCACTTTGTACTATTCACGGTAAACC